TGCAGTAAGCAACATGCATTTCCCATAGATTTCAGACATGTGAAGAGTATGTGATGCCTTTACTGCATGACTATGGCCCAGAATCCCTGCCTTCCAGGGACCCAGTGCTGGGTTCCTGCTCAAGGCCTTTCCCTGGGGAAGGGGCTGTTTGTTCTGCCTTTTTTTTTTAAACCATGCTGACCGCTTTGCTTGTTGTATGCCTGCCCCTCCCCTCGGAATGTCTAATCAAACATTTCATCTTTTCTGGTCATCTGGTCATCTAGATAGTTCTACTACAGCACCCAGGCTCATCCTCCTCCCACCAGCCTGACACCCCAAGTAATGAGCAGTATGTCAATATGTCAATGAATGGGGCTGTAAGTTTGTTAAGTGTACTTACAGAACAGGAGGCTGGCCTGTGAGTAGTTTGCCCCGACAGAGGACTGAAGTGTGCCATGGTGCAGCCCTCACCCCATCACTTTGTGGTTGGTGTTAAAGGGCAGAAAGGCCTGGGGAAAGCATGCTCAAGCCTGTGTGCAACCAAGACCCCACTACGCATCTTTTTGGCCAAACTCATCAAATTTGGTGGATCCCCAAAGCAGAGAGGCTCCCCTTGGGCAGAACCTCTCACCTCACCTCACTGAAGTGGATTCCTCTTTCAGCTCCACCCTCCTCACCCCTCCAACCGTAGTCAAGCACCTGAGCACTCTCTCCCTCGCACGGGCACATACCTGTTCAGCTCTTCTGTGGTCCATCCTCCGCCAGAGGCCTCAACAGCTCCCAAAGTCAGGCAAGGACACTTGTCAAAGTATCCTCCCACTGAGCTCCAAAGCCTCCTGGCAGCTACTGTGGTACCTGGGCTCACCTAGGGGACAGTATGTACAGGGCAATCCTGGCCTGTTTTCACCTTATGCACCCAGGTAAAGGCAGGTGCCTGCCCTCAGCACACACAGCCCTGTGAACTGTTTGCAGGCTCAAGAGACAGGAGGCTCCGCAACACCATGACAGGGAGGCCGCATCAGAAGCCGGGAGATACAGCCAGCCTGAGCTATCACCAGAGATCCTGCTGGTCCTCCCTGGTTCTCCTACTCAGCTAGGCCGTGGCTCAGTGTTTCAATAGATAAGGCGAGTTAGGCAATAATCAACTGCTCCACGGTCACATCACCATACATACCCTGAACTTGAATCTGGCTTCTCGCAGGGCACGGAGTCCAAGTAGAGCCTGGATGTTTGAAGCAAGCACACCTGTGTGAGCTACTTCCATATTCACTCCCAAGCCTGCACACTCTCCTGAACCCACCCACCCCCCAACCAACCACCAGTGTCGGGGGGTGGGGGGACCTTCCCTGCCTGCAGGGACAGGCCGAGGAAAACAGCTACCTCCAGAGGTTGCACGATTTTCTTCCCCAACGTTCAAGGCAGAGGATGGTGAAAAGGGGAGCAGAACCACTGGAATGCCTGCCAATGTTCCCAGCCTTCTTGCAGGAAAACACTTTCAGGGCAAAATCCCCTTTTAAAGAGATGCTTTATTGCTGCAATTAGACACCCCGTGTATAACACAAACAACCCCCCCCCGAGAATGATTCAAGTGGTAATACTGAGAAAGTGAACATACACAAAAGGATACAAAACCAGACATTTAGATGACCAGAAACTGCAAGTTAAGAAAATCTTCAAACGTGAAGTGCCTTTTAGAAACTACGTCACACATGCCAGTGTAAATTTGGTTTTTATTAACAATCAGCTTTCTATAAACACTGCATCTAAATAGGTGAATAGCTGCACAACTTAATTATGTCCAAAACAAAGATAAATGCTTTTATTTCCCTATGTTTCGGTCTTTTCTGGGGCTGGAGAGGGAAGGTGCGTATTTCAAATCAGATTCAAAAGGGAAAGTACTCAAGAAGTGTCTCTGCATCAGGCCAAATGCACAGCATTGCGGCCCTCGGCCCTGCCGTTCCCAGGCCGCCTCCAGCGGCCACCCCACCGGGCAGCGGACATAGTCCCAGCCATGCCGGCCCCACCTACGGCTCCGGGACTGGCCCACTGCCTGCGGCCTGTGTCTGCAACCAGGCAGGGCATGCCAGCAAGGTTGAGAACTAGACCCAGAAGACTGAAAAGAGTGGAATGAGGCAGAAAAGGAGGAGACGGTAGAGGCCCAGAGCACAGCTTGATAGTTTCCAGGTTTCTTAGTATCAACTCAGGCACAAAAACCAAATTCCTGCTGGCAGCCAAAGTCGGAAGCGCTCGAGCCAAACGAACTTTTGAGGGAACAGAGGCCAAATCAGAGAGGGTTGGCTGGCAATGCCCCTGAGGCCACTTCCCTCCCCGCCTGGCCCGGTCCCCAAGTACCAGCCCTCCGGGCCCTGAGACCCACCAGCTCATCCCACATTTCTGGTTCAGCCAAGTGTTGTCCTCCACCAAAGCCACGTGCAGAATGAGGGGGAAACGGGAATAAATGCCCCCCCCCCGAAAAAACTAGAAGGCAAGCTGCTGCGGCCTAAAGGAACCCCTGGCAGACCCGCAGCTCCCACTAGATGGCAGCACAGTACCACCTTTCCAGGGCTTCTGGCTTCCTGGTCCATCTCTGGGGGGTAGAGATTAGAGCCGGGACTAGGGATGGAGTCAGAGGTGCTCAACTGGAACCTATGAGAAAAGAGAAAGGCAAGGGGGCATCTGTGTGCCATCCCAGGAGAGGAAAGAAGGATGTGGGATGGACCATCCCCAGGCAGAAGGCTTTTTTTTAGGAGCTTGGTGGAGGTAATGAGATGGTGTTAGGCCTTCCTGAAAAGAAGGGAGAGTTTCACAGGAGAGCAACACAGCAGTCATGGTTATAAAGGCACCTTTGCCATAGGGGGTACCAGCCATGACAGGTGGACTGCCCAGAGGCTATCCCTACCTAAGCACACTTTCCTCTCTACAGAAGTCTCGGTGACTTTCAAGTTCAGCGTAAGGGGTTCCATCAGGGAGAGGGAAGGAATCCCACTTAAAAATCGATCCCAGTCTTCACGCGACTACTCATCTGCCGTAAGAGGGCAGGCACAAGGGGTCTTGCCTGGGCAGCTCCTAAGGGACACAGGCAGGGCTGGCCCAGGTCTCGGCTCCCCTGAGTAGACAGCGTGTAGCTGCCTGGCATCCGCAGGCTAAGAAGGGGTGTGGGTAATTGCACTTTGGGGCACAGTGAACACAGGCACGGACTGGATGCGGCCTGGGAGACGGAGAGAGAGAGCAGGCTGACCTATTTTCAGGGGCTGGCCATGGCTGGACAGCGTCTGCCCAGCCAGAGGAATGCCACGGTAGGGTGCGGCAGCTCCTCAGACCAGAGTCTGTGATGCCGACGAATCAGACACCACATGGGAAGAGACGGCAGGGCAAAGCCTGCTACCACGCGCCCTCCCCCAGAGCTCAGACACGCTTCAGCCTCCTCCTGGCTTTCCAAACAAACCAGAGCACTTCTATTCTGAAAGGCAAAGGGATCGTCTTGTGTTTGCTTCATCCTCCTAACAAGACAGGCAAGGCACCTAAGGCTCAGGGGACTGAGGGCAGGACCCCCAGGCATCCTTCCCTTAGAGGAGGCTCTACAGATGCAGAGTCACCTGGAGAGTAAGTACCTGGGCACACTCCTGTGACACTGCGGACCCTCCTGGCCTATTTTCCTGGAGTTAACTCCTATTTACCCAGCAAAGTGAAACTCATTTTTAAAAACAGAATTTTAAGCAGACTTTAAAGGGACAAAGGCCATTTGATGGTAGTGATTTTGGTTTTGTCTTATGAAAATGGTACAGGAGATAATCCCTGATGATAGAACGAACCGATCACAAGGATCCTCTCTGTCCAGTCCAGTTAAGGCGATACATGGGTAGAGGCGGGGCTGGGGGCAGTGACCGTGGGCCCTGGCAGTTGGCTGCTCACTTCTGGCCTTTGTCCCAGGGCCAGCCCGTCTGTCTCTCTGCCCGGGCCAGTGACCCACAGGACCTCCCCAGGATTAGAGGCCGTGCAAGGTGGCAGGCACCCAGGAGCACCCCTGGTTCCCGAGCCCCAGACCAGCGCGGCACACACTTACGCTTTTGGTGAAGCCAGCACAAACTGGAGAGCTTTGTCTGGAAAGGAGTCATTTTAAATATTCATTTTTGTTCTAATTACTCACTTCCTTCCTTTCATTTAGATCTCACACAACCTTCTTTTTCAGTGTTGTCCAAAAAGAAATGTTTGGGGCAGGCCCATGACATAAAGACTTGTAATAAAACAGGCTTGAAACCACAGGAATTGGGCTCAAATTGCCATCTGGCATCCATTCATTTCCATGAAATGTTAGGAAAAAGCCTCAGATCTGTTTGTCCTGCTTTAGACCCACAAGTCCCTCTGATGCACACAGAGCAGAGGTCAGGTTTCTTAGAATATATAAGGCAAAAAGGGTTTGAGATCTATTATAACGTAAAAGAGATCATGAAAAGAAGGATTCTAAAGGAGATGTTCTTTTAAATGTCCATCCCACTGGACACACACATTACAAAATAAAGATTCTCTCTTTGTAAAGTGCTGTTTGCTTAGTGAATCCCTCGCCACCACGCACAGAGCACCACAGCCCCGTCTGCTCTGGAAAACGGCCAGCAGCAGTGTCGGCAGAGGGGGCTCAGCTCCCGGGCTCTTCTTGGTGATGAGGGAAATCCTCTCATCATGGCTGCTAGACAGTCCCAAACACTCCGCGCCAGGGTGGGGGCTACTGCCAACCGGGAGAAGCCGGGGTGCCACCCTGCTCCTGCTCTTCCCTCAGGTTGGGCATTTTATTCTCTCATTCTGCTCAAGGTCTCATGAGCCAGAGCCCAGCCAGCTCCCCATCACATGGCATCACGGGGACCTCGCTTCCTGTGGAAATGCTGGCAGAAGTGGAACCCGGCCGTGCCCAGCCAATGTGAGGGCTTTCCAGAAGATTCACTAAGGAGGGGTTAGAAAAAGAGAAGCCTTTGAAACAGTCACCTGCCCGGTCTATGCTATTAAAGGACGTAAGAAAAGGTACACAATTGGCAGTAAACAATTTCCTTCAGCTGTTCTTCGATGTCCAGGAAAACTAACCCCGGCACAAAATCAGACATGAACGATTTCTGTTCCAGTGTCTTCAGGTTCTGTCCAACAAGAAGAGTTTGTGTCAGAATGACAGATTCCATGTCCATCTTTATTTTCAAAGTTGGGTTCTGTTAGTGCAGATTTTTCGAAAATATTCTTTTTGCTTGTTTCTGGACAGTTCTGAACATAGATTACTCTGTTATAAGCCTTGAGTCTCTTCCATAATTGTACATACACTTTGCACTGAACGTACATAAAAAGAAGTCCGCCGGTAAAGCCGATGGCCACAACCACCAGTTTAGTCCAAAAAGGCCACTCTAGGATTCCTGGAAGGGGAAAAACCCGGTTAGCCTATCAGCAGACCTAATTTAAGATCTGATGTAAACAAAACACAACTTCTGACCTTCCCACCCATGACCAATGGATTCTTCACTCATCAAATCTTGCTTCATCAAAGGTGGGATGGCAGAGAGTATCCATTCTCTTATCTTGCTGCTCTTCCAGGAGACAGTGTGTGGAGATTCTCCCTGATCTGACCTCTTCTAACTGGGTTTTTTAAAAAGTACTCACCACAGCAAGAGAAACATCCAAAAACAATGCTTGGTGCTTCATAATTGATGCCCCCGCTCCAGAAACCCAGACATTTGAAGTCTGACTTAAAAACCAATCTGGAATGACCCCCATGTGTTATCCAGAATCTCTATGCTGAGCTCATATTTCACTCTGAGTACATACCTGTTGCCTGTCCGTGTTTGATCTCCTCAGTGGTACGGTCGATGAGCACATACAAGGACCAGACCACACAGGTGATGGCGATGACATGGAATGTCACTGAGCACATGATCTTCCTGCGCTCACTGGCTGTCATCTGCAACTTCTCCCACTGGAAAGACAACATGCAGAGCATGAGGTACGGGACCCCAGACGTAAAGGACTACAATGGGGGTGAGAGCACTGTAGATGGGTAAGAGTGGCTTGCTCTCCCCTCCCCTTTTCCCAGACTTCATGAATTTTCCCAAATACCAAAGGTCATTCGCCTTAAACCACTTGGCTTCAACCAGGTACCGGGCACTGGTATTCTGTCAACAGCCAACTTTCTATGCAATGAAAAGAAGCTGGGATCAAGATGAGCTATAGACCACAACCAGAAATCAATCCTCTTGTCTGCTTATTCTTGCAGGCAGACAGCCAATGGCTAGCTAAAGGACTCTATGGTTCCAGTCCTGATGAACCCAGCATGTTGGCCCCCGACCCAGGTGGCACACAAGAGACCTCCCTGCCTTGCTGACTGGCATGGGCAAGGGGAAGAGGGCTGATGACGCCACAACACACTAGCAGATGGGTCACGCTATATCGTGAAGGTGATGGCAGAAGGCGCTCACTCTTTGGTCCTTTGCTACTTTGGCAGCAACAGCTTGAAATCGATGCTAAGAGTTCCTGGTACAAGCAGGCTCTGCCAGTCCCATCTCCTCTAGGAGCTCATTAACTGACTCCAAAGAGCCAGATTTTCTCTTTCATTTACTGCTTTCCGAATCAGAAGAAAACACATAAGGATAGAGAAAAAGAACAAAGTGTAAACACTCTGCATATCCTTGGCCAGCCCTAGTCACAGCCTCTCTCCAGATGGTTCTATGTAGGACACGCTGAAAGTAGAGCCTCGTGGACTACCTACATTGGTCAAAGTGCTACAAGTCTCATTCGAGGGACCAGCACAGAGTAGGTATCCAATAAATTATACGGTCTTTATGGGGCAAAACATTTTTTAAGTAGTTTGCATTTGCCTCTCCAACACCCTGAGTGCTTTTTGCTATGGTTTTATATAGTATCTTCTTTTGGCTTTCCTCCTAAAATGCCCCCCTGCTCCCTGATTTCCTGCTATTTCTTTAAGTACACTCAGCCCAAGCCTTTCACACTGACCTGAAATGCTCACCCTCACCTTTCTGGTGTATGCTTTTCTACACAATCTGTCCTCTCTAAACTCCCTTCACTTTACTCCAAATCCTACTGACCCTTCAAGAACGGCTTGAACACCCAAACATTCTGTGACACTACCACCACTCCACCTCCCCAAGGCTCCAGCCCACAGCCAATGCTTCTAAATGTCTGATGTGTTCTGCCACCACTTAATCGAACATTCACTTGGCATTGTCATGTGTTGTGATGTGATTGTGTGATTCCCCTTGAATATACATACCAAAATTCTGAGATACGAACAAGTCTTATTCTACCAAACAAAACCTTACGTGCTGGGCATACAGAGAAACACATTAAACCATTTACACAGGAAGCGCCTACCAGACAAGGCTCCGCTTAGAGAGAGCCGTGACATGGGGCCTGAAGAGAGGTGCGTTTCCCATAAGGCTTGCAGTTCCTCTCTTTTCCCACCCACCCTCCCCCTACCAACTAGCAAATATTTATCACAGGTATCTAACAAATAAATGCACTATGTGCTTTGTGCAAGGGAAAGATACTAATGTCTAATAATATACAGTCCTAATCAGAGGCAAGACATGAACAGTTAATACATATAAAATTAAATGCTAAGACGTCACAAAACAGTCTGTGGTCCAAACGTGGGACCACAGGGTGACTGAGGGCCAAACGACTGACACAGACAAGCAAGCAGTCTTAGTCTGACTGAAAAACATGTTAGGACTGAAGGGTCAGAAAGAACTTCTTCCTGAGAGGAGGGAGCGGGAAAGAAGACCCGGAAATGACGATGCCTGCAGCATGAACACCTGCGCCAGCACCCACTTCTGACAGGAGCGTAAGCGAGCTACGGCTTCATCCCGGCCAAGGGGCTAACTCTGCCAGGGGCCCCTCATTTCAAAGAGGTGAGAGCACTTCCAAAGGTGTCCTTCCACGTACTTTTCGCAAAGGCTTCAGCTTGACCTCCATGATGAACTCGTACTTGCAGAGCTCACAGCAGCGCGTGTCGGAGCTCTTGATCCACTGCTGCAGGCAGGTCTGGTGCACGAAGTGCAGGCTCCCGGTGCAGCGGCAAGGGGTGATCAGAGGGCTCTCGTCATCCCCTTCACAGTGGCAGATCCTGCGGGGAGAGCAAAGCCAATCATTACCAGGAGGGCCACATACCAGGGGAGAGGACACTTCAGGGGAGGGTCAATCCCCCCAGTGAAAACTTTCAACAACAAACATCACAGAAAGGACCACAAGCACAAAAACACACAAACACGGATGTGAACAATGACTACAAACTAAAAACTTCTAGCTTACCGCACCAACATGGAAAGTCGGGATGGCATTTTGCATCAGAGAGGAAAAAGTGATATAAGAAATGACAAAGCAGTCATTTTTGGTAAGATTTAAGAACTTCACTGAAAGCCAAATTTAAGGCAACATGGAAGCCTCTTTCACAACATGTTAAAATAATTAGAGGAAAAATTTGTGTAAAACAAAACTAGCACTCTACTTTCCAAAAATACCAGTGACTTAAAAAGATGATGAACTTGATTTTTAGCCATAATCACTCACACACCATACTACACATCTCCGTCCTCCCTCAGACAGCACACAGAGAAAACACAGGACCTCTCCTGGACCTAAAAACCCCATTAGAAGGTGCCGCCATTTGTTTCTTTTTTGAGGAAGCGAGAATTTTAAATCATTCACGATTTCTAAGGGTGCATGCAAGAGGATGTAGCTACTAACCTCAAGGAACTTAACAGACTTTTGAGAAACAGAAGGGTCCGATCCAGCAGCTGGAGAACAGGCAGGGACACCTGGCCTGACAGGAGCTGGGCCCTGGCCCTGGCCAGGCTCACAGCTCTTTGTTTCTGTGAGAGGGGTTTCTGATCCAACTGTTAGAAATGGTAACAGCTGGCCCGGAAGGGGCACCCAGGGAAAGGCTGGAATAGGGAAAGCTTGAGTGTGGTGACAAAAAGCGGATTCTGAAAGATTCTGGGAAGCCAGACAAGGATGCTGCACACGGGAAGACAAAGGTGGGAAGTGGAGTCAGGAACTGGGCAGAGGTGGCCACATCTGAGTTAAAAAGAAGGAAGAAAGGTGCTGTGGGAGGCCGGCTTCTTCCCATGTATACTGTGTTGCAACCGGAACAAAGGGTAAAAATGAAGCCAGAAGGGGCAGCCAATGCTTAACATCTAGATCCTCAAGCTGGAAAACTGGAGATACTATTTTCTTTCTTCCAATTTCCTTAAGCAAACTCTACTTATTTTTGGTTGAGAAGAGTCAGCTTGGCCTTTAATATGTGTAGCATCTTCCCCTTTAATCATCTGTGAAACTATCTGGGACCCATCTCATAAAAACTGGTTTGTCAAATGATATCAATACTCCATTGTTCTGGAGAAAACCATTAACCCACAATTGTCTACCAACCCCCCATTACTTCATTTTCCTGAAACTTCACATATTAAAAGCAAGATGAGGCCACCGAGGTCTGGGGAGCAGAGCTGGCCAGAATGGTGGTTCTTGGCAAACCAACCTGCAGGCATCCCCTGACGTGGACACAGGAGAGATCGGGGGGCATTTTTCAGAGGGGGGAGAAGGACAATCCAGGTCACTGTCCTTCTCCACTGAGCAGAGGGGTGCCCGCAGGACCTTGCTTTTCCACTTTGCAGATGTGCTGTCCTCAAAGACATCGTCGTCTCCCATCTCATCCGAGCAGAAGCCCGTGCTCCCTGCCAGCCCGCTGGAGGACTTGGCGGTGTGCAGACGGGCGGCACGGTTCTCCAGCTCATGGAACCTGTGCAGGCTGCGGGCGCTCGAGCCATGCGAGAGCGAGAACAGGTACCGGAGCAGTCGCCGGCTCTGGGACACGGCTTCGCCATCTGCTTTCTCCTCCAAAAGAGGGACATGCATGCCCCCCTTGCCAGCTTCCACCTCTGAGGCAGTTGACCGATTGGCAGAAAGGGAGGAAACACAAGAATGTTTGGAATTGCCAAGAGGTTTGCGATGCAGTGCTCTTTTTTCCTTCTGGTGGAACCTGTTAATTCTCAGACCCGGATCTGGAGGGAGTATCAGTTTCCCTTCGGAGCAAGTTCTTTCCACATAGTCAAAACTTTCCACAGTATCCTGGGCCCTCTCGCCCACATCGTTTAAGGATTTTGAGAACTTTAGTGTTCTTCTGGCTTTAGTATTGTCAACAGGCTTCAAGGCCTGGGCCCATTCTGAACCACAGGAATTTCTCTTGGACAATGTGTCTTTACAGATAACTGTCACAGTGAGCCCTTGTGTCAGAGAACTCTGGCAGGGAGGAGCTTTCAAGACAACAGCAGACTGCACGGGACTTTGGTGACAACACTCAGAACACACTGCACTGGAACTGCATGCAGAGAACAGTGGAATAAAAGCACAGGAAGTAAAAACAATCTTAAAAGAGAATAGACATCCAAGTGAAGAAATGAGACTCGTGTGGTAACTTGGGAGCAAACAGCACATAAACCTGAGCCAGCTGTTTACAGCAAAGGCATACTGACTGAGCAAATGGAAAATCGAGAACCTGCAGACACTAATGCTTATTTCCGGGATGTCACATGAACCCCTACAGCATCTGAAGCAGAGCGTTACCTGCAGATGTCCTGATTGGACGGTGTGACAGAAGAGCGAGGGAAGGCGGACACCGGAGCCGACACCAACGAAGAACCCCCAGCCTGCAATGACACACCTCCAGTCAGTTACAGAGGAAAGAGCAAAGGGGACAGTGACACCATCTCCTTCCAAATGGCAATGGAAAGAGAATCTAAGAACACCTGCTATTTCCTACTGCTCGCTGAATAATACATATTTAAGGTCCTGATGAGCTGAGGCAAAACAAATCAAACAGCACTCTTTTCTTCTATGGGGGTAAAAGTGTAGCCAAGAACTATTTGAGACTCTACAGCAGCAATACCAATCTCCCGCAGACTCAGTGATCCTTTATTTCCTGAGCATCTAAATTTAATTAGTTCATACATAGTCAAGAAATCAAGTACTAGATGGGGGGGCGGGAGGAGGGCTGGCTGGCTCAGCCAGTACAGCATGCAACTCTTGATCTCAGGGTCATAAGCTCAAGCCCCACATTGGGAGCCTACAGAAGGGGAGGGGAGGGGAGGGGAGAAGAGAGAAGAGAAGAGAAGAGAAAAGAACCAGATGGTATATGCAAATGTAAAAGAAATGTGAGGGGCCTTCCCTGCCAGTGCTTACCTTCCCACCTGGCACTCTTTAGGCTGGTTCCAGGGGTAATCCTAATCAGGATGGCTGGATGTGAGTGCTCTCTCCTACCCACCCTACACTGGGTCCAGGACACCTTGCTACCCCGCTGCCAGAATTCTTTACACAAAAGGGAGACTAGGTGACCACAGGGCCGCTGATCCATAGCTCAACCTGGGGCCCAGGAGAGGGCTGAGCACAGAAGGTTCCCAAGAGTTCTAATCATGGGATTGTGATTTAAGAAAAAGAATCAAGATGTAGTGAAAAGAAGGGCCATATGCACCCCAATGTTCATAGCAGCAATGTCCACAATAGCCAAACTGTGGAAAGAGCCGAGATGCCCTTCAACAGATGAATGGATAAAGAAGATGTGGTCCATATATACAATGGAATATACTCAGCCATCAGAAAGGATGAATACCCAACTTTTACATCAACATGGATGGGACTGGAGGAGATTATGCTAAGTGAAGTAACTCAAGCAAAGAAAGTCAATTATCATATGGTTTCACTTATTTGTGGAACATAAGGAATTGCATAGAGGACATTAGGAGAATGAAGAGGGAGAAATCGAAGGGAGAGATGAACCATGAGAGACTATGGACTCTGAGAAACAAACTGAGGGTTCTAGAGGGGAGGGGGGTGGGGGGATGGGTTGGCCTGGTGATGGGTATTAAGGAGGGCACGTAGTGCATGGAGCACTGGGTGTTATACGAAAACAATGAATCATGGAACACCACATCAAAAACTAATGATGTACTGTATGGTAACTAACATAACAATAAAATAAAATTTAAAAAAAAGAAAGAAAATTTAAATTTGCAAGAATGTGTAGCAAAAGGTCGTGACACAGTTCAGGGGCTCTGAGGGCTTATGAACAAGCCAAGACGAGAAAAGAGCTCTAGGAGGCTGAAGGAGCACCACCGTGGAGAGAAGTGGAAGGAGAGACGGGAAGAGTGCACCTCAGCCTCCCAGGGTCCCCCCGCCTCCCAGTCCAACCTCTCTGCGATTGTGGCCAAGCCTTCTCTGGACTCAGATTCCTGAGTTCCCATGGCCCTCAGAGCACTCCGCATATTCATATAAATGCATTCTTCCCTCCTAAGACAGCTTGAGTGAGCATCTGCCCCACACACCTAAACAGCCACATGAAAACAGTACCATGAGTCTTATCAAGAGCAGGCCCACATTACCTACCTACCTTCCCCAGGCCCCTCCCAAGTGGCCTTCAGCCCTGCTCCTTGATTTGAGGGAGCCCCACAATTCCCTGGCTGAGGTTTAGACCCCACTCTTGCTAAGCCCCATCCCCAGGGGCTGGGTCTCATCCTGGCACTGAAGCTACGGGACCCCTGCCATGGGCCAGTCACCAAGACCGGCAGCACCATTGTCCAGAAGCTCTCCCCATCTGCCCTCCCCAGCAAATGCGCCAACCTGGAGAGAGCCAGGCCTGGCAGTCAGATTGAGGGCTTCAGTGGTCCCGCTCTCCAGCAGGAGAACTAAACATCACTTTAAAACCCAGCTCAACCTGAAACCTGGTCCAAGAAGTTACGTGATATCACATTGCATGTGTGTGCTAAAATCCTGCAGTAGTACTCAACTAGCACATCTGCTGAGCCACCAAAGAACCCACATGTTCTAACTGAATGTGGAAAATATTCGGTATCCTGAGAGGAGGCAGGCCTCAGACAGGAAGCTGAAATCAAAAGAAAATGGCTTCTCACTCCCATCCTGAATTCAAGTGACCCATGTCAAAAAGGGAAGTCTGGGGTAGTGATCACATCATCACATGCCCAAAACAGGGGAGTGCTGGGAGGCAGGAGGGAAGAGCGTCAGGGCAGAGCAAGGCCTGCACCAAGGAAGCAGCCAGACAGTCCACACTCACAACAGGACCTGGGATCACTTCCCCATGAATTTGGTGTCTCAGGTGGACTCCTGGGAACTCATACAATCACGTGTGTACCTGCAGCAAAGCATCATGCCTGTGAGTCGGTGGCAGTGGTCCCAAGTCCCTGATCTGCTTATTTAGGGAAAAAGGAATAGTCTCAACATCCTGTGTCCCTGTCCTCATTTCATCCTTTCCAATCCCACAAAAAATCACGAGACACTTTCAGCAGGTAATGTCCAAGCCTCAACAAGCCTCCCAATTACAGAGAAAAAATTTCTCTTCTTAGATCATGAAGTTTCAAGGAAATTTTTTAAAATCTACTTTCTGTTGTTTTATATAATACAAACCAACAAGGGCACCTGGGTGACTCAGTCAATTAAGTGTCTGCCTTCAGCTCAGGTCATGATCCCAGGGTCCTGGGACTGAGTCCCACTTCGGGCTCCTCTGCTTCTCCTTCTATCCCTCCCCCCTGCTCATGATCTCTCTCTCTCTCAAATAAATAAATAAAATCTTTATAAATACACCCATACATACAAACCAACAAATTCCTTATCCTGGCTGACTCCTCCAGTAAGAATGAGAAAACAAGCAAGATTTGTGGGGCCATCACAGATCTCATAAGAGGCACCTGCTGCTTCCAGCTAAAGAAGTTGAAGTTCAGGACAAGTCCACATGTAAAATGATCACCAAAGCATAGCATCAACAATTTTAAAAAGCTTAACTTGTTGCTGGTATCAAGCTGAGTAAAATCTATCAACCTACCAATGAGGATTTAAAAGACTGGATTGATCGTCAACAGCAAGGACAAAATGAAGCCTACAAATATAGTTCAAATACAGTGCCAGAGTCCAGCTGGGGATGTCAAGGTAAGTCAGGGGCCAGCAGTGTCCCCTCAGAGGCATGGAGCACTGGACAGCTCTCCCGCTCAGCCCGACGGCAGAGGGCAGGTGGCACCGGGGAGGCTACGGGCCAGCACTACTCGCCTTAAGGGAAAAGGAGAGCACCCTCTCTCCTCCACAAGATCAGACCACACAGGACTCTGCTGTAAAAGTACGTGTGAATGTTCATAACGAGAACATTCCCATGTGTCAAGAAAACTAAAGCCCTGTGTTCCTGAAGCTCTTTGTTGGTTCTCAAACAAAAGACGTTCTGGTCATGTAAAGGAATGTAAAGCAATCTCACTACAAAAAAATTTTCGTAAAAAATCCCCTCCTCTTAAGATGTTGTAATCAATTATGCAGACAAACCTCCGGATTCCATCTAGGCCTACCTAAATTCCAACTGAGTTTATTTCTTAGGAATGACAATTTTAGACAATTTGTCAGTACTCAAGTCACTTAGTGGTTGTCTTTCCTCCCAGACTCCACTGAGGGTTTACAGCAGAGAAGGAGGGAGGGGGTGGTAGAGAGGGAGGTTGGGAAGTAACCTACTGGAAGGAGCAGGGGAAGGAAGTGAAGCAAGAGGAGAGCCGGGGAAGGTCCGGCGGGTGTCCTGCCGTGAGAAAGTCCCTCTGAGTGAAATTGGCAAGTTACAAAATTACTTTGTCAAGGCTGCCAAAAACAACCAAAGGAAAACTTCCAATATAGCCTTGGTAGAAGCTGGCGTTTCCTTTTGCAGGAACCTACTGCCCTTGAAAGGGCTATTTGTAACAGACTCATCAAGTACATTTCTCCGTCCATGCCAGGAACTTGCCAATTTCATTCAGAGGGACTTTCTCACGGCAGGACACCAGCCGGACCTTCCCCGGCTCTCCTCTTGCTTCACTTCCCTCCCCTGCTCCTTCCAATAGGTTACTTCCCAATCTCCCTCTCTACCATCCCTTCCCTCCTTCTCTGCTGTAAACCCTCAGTGGATCTTCTTTTCACTCACTGGCAAAGCAACTTTTAAACATCTGGGGCTCAGGGCCCTAACAAAAGTGAATTCACCCATCTGATTTACATCAACAGGTATAGGGCCACAAGAAATGGTCTGGTTGGGTTCATTTGCTTTTAAGCCAGGAGCAATTTGAAGAAGGACTGGATAAGGAAGGTAAGAGACAAGTTGGGCTCCTGTTTACAAGTGACCTCAAACTTAATAGGAAAAAATGGGGAAACGAAGTACAGATAGCTCTTAAAACATAAAAAGATACTGGGGCGCCTGGGTGGCTCAGTCGTTAAGCATCTGCCTTAGGCTCAGGTCATGATCCCAGGTCCTGGGATCGAGCCCCGCATCGGACCCCCTGCTCGGCAGGAAGCCTGCCTCTCCCTCTCCCACTCCCCCTGCTTGTGTTCCCTCTCTCGCTCTGTCTCCCTGTATCCTTAAAGATAAATAAAATCTTTAAAAAAAAAAAAAACATAAAAAGATGCTTAACCTCTCTTACAATGAGAAATACAAATAAAAACTACAATGCGATATACCATCAGCAACAACAAAAAAGTCTGTTTTGTTTTGTTTTAAATCACCTAATACCTGTGTTGACAAACGTGTGGGAAAACAGCCATGCTTATACACTGCTGGTGGGAAAGCAAATTGCTTAACTCCAGAAGAGGACAATGTGGCAATTACTCTCTAAATTACAAATGCACATTCACTTTGTCCCAG